TTCTGATCCAGAATGAACACGTTCACTGTCACGTTGCTGCTCAGAGACGGAGCTCCAGAATCTGTGGCCACAACTTGGAACTGGAAAGTTTTTAGAGTTTCAAAGTCAAAGCTTTTTAGCGCTGATATTTGTCCGTTTTCTGAGTTTATATTTAAGAATGTTGTGACGTCATTCTGCCTGGCTATTTGATACGAAATAGATGCGTTTTCACTGACGTCACTGTCCGTGGCACTTACAGATAATATTGACGCTCCTGCAATGTTATTTTCTTTTAGATAAACTTGTAATGGATTCTGAAGAAATTTTGGACTGTTGTCATTTACATCTGATATCTCAATGGTTAGTGATTTAAAGGTAGATAGTGGAGGGTCACCACAATCTGTGGTTTGTATTTTAATATCATAATGTGACAATGACTCTCGATCTAAAACGCTTTTTGTAACAACTGAATACACGTTTTCTTTATATGAGTGTTTTAACTCAAAAGGTACATCATTAACAATGCTTGGTATAACCTTTCCATTCACGCCAGAGTCTCTGTCCATCAAACTAAGTAAATAAATAACTGTGCCAGGCTTTGAGTCTTCTGGCACTGTATTAGAGAGGGACGTGATTTCTATCTCAGGTATATTATCATTCATGTCTTTAACTTTAATAATTACTCGACACTCACCCGTTAATTGAGGCGTTCCTTTATCTGATGCCTCAACATCCAGTTCATAAACATCCTTTTCTTCATAGTCCACTAAACCTTTCACTATAATGTCTCCTGTCAACTTGTTCAATTCAAAAATATCATATACTTTCCGAGACAAAGTTTTTCCAAGACTGTACTCAACTTCTCCGTTAGTGCCCTCATCTAAATCTGTTGCATGCATTTTAAACACCGACGTTCCAACAGGAATGTTTTCATTTATTGACAATTCATACATTTCTTTACTAAACAATGGACGGTTGTCATTTGTGTCCAGAACAATAATAGAAATATTTAATGTGCCGGATTTTGGAGGTTTACCCCCATCTAGTGCTGTAACCACGAAGGTGTGCTTGGTCTTTTGTTCTCTATCTAAAGATTTTTTGAGGACTAAAAAAGGGATCAAACCTGCATCACTTTGACGGATATTAATGTCAAAATAATCATTAGGTGTGAGGGTGTAAGTACGAATTGAATTAATTCCTGCGTCTGGATCTCTAGCAGCGTGCAGCTGAAATCTTTTCCCGGGCAGCGTATGTTCTCCCATTTCAATTGTTTGTTGTTTTTCCGGAAAAACTGGGGAATTGTCATTAACATCGGTAATTTCTACAGTAATATAATGCATTTCCAAAGGGCTTTCAACAAGGATTTTAAGCTCCACCAGACACGCGCCGCTCCCTTTGCAGAGTTCCTCTCTGTCGATGTGATTACTGACGCACAGAGCGCCATTGTTCACATTCACGTCAAAAATAGCCTCCGTATTCCCAGATACAACACGGAACCGACGATCAGCCAAAGATGCGATGTCAAGCCCAAGATCCTTAGCGACATTTCCAACCACAGTCCCTTTTTGTACTTCCTCTGGAACACCGTATCTTATCTGAGCCGAAGCGTCTCGTCCTGAGAGCAGCAGCAAGGCCAAATAAAAGGCGAACGAGGAGCAGCTTCCTCCTCGAGTTTTGGTAGAAAACTCCATCGTTATCCAGCAAATAAAGTGTTCACAAAACAATATTTTAGGGTGGGGAACATTTAAAATCTCTTTTTTAAAGAAGAAACGCTATATCGATTGATGTGCTGGAATCAAGTGACGCGCTCGGATGAAATGACAAAGAAAAGCTTGTGAGAAGGGTGGAACAAAATGATTTAAGGTTTCCTGATTTAATGGTGACACC